TTTTTTGCCGTTGGCTAAGCACCGACACACAGTCTGTTCCCGTAGTCCAGTAGATGCTGGCCCCCATTTTCCCAGGACAACCCAGTCGAGCCTGATCCTTGATCACCCACCCATGCAGATGCTCTCTGTAAGGCCTCAGGCCATCTTCTGCCACTGGCTTGCACCAACCCAAGGGATGCCAATGGGGTTAATTTTTATCTGCCTCTCCGGCTGCTGAGATGGTTTTAGAGAGAAGAGCCAACAGCAGGAGAAGTGTTAAATGGGACACTGGAGGCAGTGGATCCCCTGTGGGACCCTCCACACTGCAGTCAGCCGAGGAGATTCGCTCGGGGGAGACCAGCTGCAGACACATGTAGGGCTTGGAGTACTGGCTTTGTGTTAAATAAATAACATCTGCTCTCTGATTTTAGCAGCTGAGAAGAAAGAAGGAGAAAACACAGGGAAAACATCAACCTAGAGCAATAGCTGCGGCTTACCAGGAAGATGCTACCATCTCACACACGCTCTGATGCGGGAGCTGGAGATGTTGGCTGAGAGACCAGGATACAAGCATGCTTCCCCGCACACCCTTCCAGCACGTCTAGGACGCTGCTGAGGAGCAATCGCGTCTCCTGCATCGCCCGGCAGCGGCTCTCGCTGCTGCGCCAGCAGGTGGGAAGCAGCTCCGAGCTGCCTAACACGACACGGAAAAAGTTTTAACCCTCGAAGGCAAGAGCAGGCGAGCTGAACCTGGGTTCGGGCAGGGAGGGCGGGCGAGGGGGATTTGCGCTCTCAAAGTTATTCCTCCAGAAGTGAAAGCTGTAAACAAAAATAGAAGCACTGCACCTCGATGAATTCCTCCAAAGCAAAAGCGTTTGAGCGTGCTCAGCGGAGCCGTTAAAAAAGACTGTAGCGAGCATCTTCCATTAACGTTACGACCGTGAAATATGACAATAAAATGATAGCCGTATGGTCGCAAATTTGCAGCCCGCCGAGTTGCTAGGGGTTTATCGTCACTCAAACGTGCAGAGAGCTGTAAAATGTTTACAGAAAGGGTCGTTTGCAGCTATAAAATCCTCTTTTCTCTCCTAAACAAGGCTGAGTGGAGCCATTTACAAACCCCTGAATGTTCATCGGGGGAGAGGGGAACATCTGTTCTCTCCAGGAGTTTTCAGTGATCTTCTCGAACAAATTAACTAAAATGGGTGCTTTCTAATTAAATTAGCACTCGATTGGAATGGTTTGCATTGGTGCGCTTGCTTACAATTAGCGCAGGGAGGCCAGTTAGGCTCCGGCGCAGGCTATTTAACTGGAAGGTGAAATATGGAAAAGCACATTACCTGGAAACGCTTGCCGGAGGGGCAGGGGAGCCGCGTGCTCCCTCCGGCTCTGCCCTCCCGTGGCACCACGGGGCACTCGCAGAACAAAACGAGGTGAAGGACGCAATGCTGCCGAGCGCTGGTGCACGCGTGGCAGCATGACGGTTTCCAGTCTTGCTCGGTGGCACAGAGCTGCTGGGAAGCCCCTTGCAACGTTCACCTGCTACCCGAGAAGACGCACCTCTGTGCTAGGGATTGGAGAGCAGGTTAATTCGGATTAGCCGACGTGCCGGTGGGAAGCACATAAGGTGGAGGCGACACTCACCAGGAACGGATGTTTCGTGCTGGAACAAACGGTCAGGCCTCGAGAGGCTGTGGGGAGAGAGGGCTGAGGGGCACCAAACTCGTGAGCAGGGCAGGAGGATGTCCACCTCCAGCACCCGCCTCCCCGAGCACCACAGTCTGACCCGTCCATCCCGAGGCATCCCTGGAGTTTGGCAGCTATCACAGACGATGGGCATGGGATGGGCCTTAAAATCACGGGGCTGAGCCTTTAAACAGCCCACAGGGACACGGCTCCAGTGGTGATTAAGTTTGGCCTGGTCAGCTCCAAATCCCCTCTCACCCAGCATCTTCCCTCCTGTACATGCAACTGGTGTTTTTCTTTGCTCCTCCCGCATTCGGCAGTATTAAAAAGGCATTTCTCAAATTGTCGCCTTTCAACCAAGCAATTCAGACCACTCTGTAACAATAACCTGTCCTCCTCCTTATTTACTACTGCACCAATTTGCGTGTCACCTTCAGGCTTTACAAGCCAGAAATGGAGTATCATCATCAAGCTCACGGGGACGAATGCTGAGCATGCCTGGTCCCCGGCTCTGCCCCACTGGAGGATGGTGAGGTCCCCAAAACAGCATTGCAGATCCCAGCTATTTACCTATCTAATAATCACAGCTAGGCAGGGACACAAGGTTCAGTTCTGGCTGATCAGGATGAACGCCCATTAGTGGAAAACATATATGCATACATATATATACAATACGGATCCCTCCAGTAACTGGCCTTAGACACTCCCCTGCACAAACTGCTCTCTCAGTAGCCTGCTGGACTTCTTGGTCCCTCCAGGTGTGAGGAACCTCTTGGGCTGCAAGGTGCTCCAGGGAAAGCCTCTCTGTTGACTCCTGGTGATAGGTGCCACTGCCGGCCCATGGGACCGACGGCTCTCCCAGGACGAGCCGGGGCGAGGGCGCGTTTTCTCTGGTTAGGTATCGGGGTTCCCTCGGCCACTGTCGTGCCCCTGTGCTCTTCGGTGTGAGCAGAGACGAGCGTCTAATCACACAAACCACCAGACATCACCCCCAAGCGCGGGGCAAACAGCATCCCCGCACTCATCCTCGGACAAACGGCGGGCAATCGATGCATCGCTCTGGCAGGGAAACGGCTTTGTCATCAAATTATTTAACAGGCTTTTGCAATTCCTTCCCTGATTTCCTTTCCTGGGGTCTCCAGCCCTGCCGGCATCTCGTGCTCCTCCCGCTTAACAGCACTCGCCCAGCTCGACCAGCACGGTGGGGCGCATGCCTCGTGGGGAGGCGAGGACCTGTGAGCTGCCGCTCACCCCAAATCTTTTCCCTGCCAGTCCTGGAGAATCCCTAACTTTCCTACTAATGCCCTGTAGCAGATCCTTTTTCTCATCTTCGCATGCAAAGCAACCAGAAATTATCCCCCCCATGACATATAAACACGAGTTAAGAGAAAAGCCTGCCTCCCAGATGCCCGTCTTGCCGGAGCGTCGCTATCCCCCACCTGACACACACTCTCTTGACCGAGTTACTGCAGACTGCCAAGTGCAATTCAAGGCATTTCAACAGCTTTCTTTTGGCAGATTAATTGCTCCATCTTCATCGCAGAGATCAAAAAGGCAGATTAACCCGCTGGTTCAAGAGCACTTCCCTGCAACGGCAGCAGCAGCCCTGTCACCGAGATCAAAAGCGCGTTGAAACGGGGCCAGCAGAAGGGAAGGAGGGAGGCGCGGTGGGGGGGGGGAAGAAATCACAGCAACTCCAAAGGGAAGCCAAGCACTTCACTCCACGCTGCGGAGAAGAGCCTTTCCAGCAGAAGTGATCCCTGCTGAAAGGACGCATTCCCATTGCCTTGCATTTCAATAGCGCACAGCTCAGCGGCCACCTTCCAACCGCCCACTTGCCTGTGACTTCAGGAATATGTTGCTAATCCTGGGCATTTTCTTCCCCACCACGTCAAGGCATCTCAGACCTCCCCGGCTTGAAGTGGGGTTTACACTTAGCTGCCAAGCCAGGCACAGCTCTGGAGTTGCTCGGCCTCTGGCCGAGGAGGACCGTGCAAATGTCCCAGTCTCGCTTCCAGCACCAGATTCGTCTGTCTTCCCAAGGGGACCCTGCGCCTGCCGCACGTTAGGTTGTAGGAGGTGTGACATTGAAGATGGCGAGCGAAGCGCAGCTGGTTTCTCCAGCTCCTTCGTTCACACCGACCCGTGTCTTGAGCCACCCAAGCTAGCACGTGCTTCGGCAGCATTAATTTCATCCTACCTCTCCGTTACCTTCAGCTGGTGCCAGGGCAGGAGATAGGGCTCTCCGCTGCAGCGGTCACTGCCACATCGCTGAACTGCCCATACAATTTAGCAGAATTCACCTGGCTTGTCCAAGGTTGGGGGAAAAATCATAAATGGCTTTTGCAGCTGTTCTGTTTTCCCATCGGATCACCTCTGCTCTCAGTTCAAACTGCAATGGCAAGTTATTGCCGCAAAACACGTTGATTTAAACCTTCGAGCCAAACTCTGTCCCCTTCTGCTATCTGTGACGGCACTCAGGAGACACGACTGCTACAAATCCCTCAGATGAAGGACCGGATACAAAAAGGATAACGGAAAGCAATGACACCGGCAAAATCCCAGAGAACTGGCTGCTCAGCTCCAGCCAAAACATCCTACGCCGCGTCAAAAAGGACCACGCGTTTTAACGGAGCAGCTTCAAGGCACATGAGGATATTCACCTCTGCTTCCCCCGCACCACTCCTCCATCCCCTCTGCACTTTCAAACGTGTCTGATGTCCTCAGAGCCACCCAAAGCCCCTCACTTCCCCCAGAGCTGCCGTCAGAGTTGGCAATCACAGGATTTCCCTGCCCAGGGGCTGAATTAGGGGAGGGAGAACTAAGAAAGATGTTGGGGAAACAGAACGACAGCTCACATTTGTTGGGACGGTGCAAAACGCTTTGCAGAGAAACAGCAATAAAACACATTTCTTTTCAGTTACTTCAACACCTTCCTCCCTGTTTTTACAGTCACTTCCATTGACAAATTTGCTCGAACTCTTGCAAAAATGAAAAAATATCAGGGCAGAAGCCATTTGCTCAATTCTGCCAGACTTCACGAGAAAGTCTGGCTCACCCTAAAATTGCACCTTTCAAAAACTGCATCCATTTCCAAAGTCTCTTCCCCTGCCTTTTAATAAAGCAGCAAGGTAGATTATCCGAGACTAATATGGACTCTTCCCTTGAACTTGCGTGCAGGCACCTTCGTCACAGACTCGGCCCCCCGAGTCTGCAGGAGGCACCCGCAGACTCTCAGCCCCGCATCCCACCAGAGATGGCTTTATCTCAGAGTTTCAGAGCTGTTTCACACCTGGAAACACATGCAACGGATGCTGTGGAAACAGGCTGTGAACTGGCGCAGCCCGGCGGGTGCGGGAACAAAACTGGAGTAACTGCTTCCTACCTGGCTCTTCCACAGGCTCATCCTCTCCCCGTTCAGCTTTGCATGTCTCTTCCCCGGGGGAGGTGGGCGACTGCAGCGAGATGAAAGACGGCAGCTTTTGGAGCCGGCTGCTCCGCGATGGGTCCGCATCTCTCCAAAACGTTGCATCTCGCTCTGTGCTGGAGGGCCCCGGCGTTGCCACATCATCATGGAGCTGCACGGTATCGTTCCTGGAGGAGATACGTGTAAAAAATAAGAATAATAATTACAAAAAAAAACATTATCCCTCTTGGCGATGCTGAATGTGGTGGT